TAAATTTTGTGTAAGCTGGGCTTAGAAGTCCGCGGGTAGAACGGTCCACCTCTAATATCTCAAACAAGTGAAGTTAAATTTTTTTGTACAACGATATTTGAAAATAGAGCAAAAAAGATGTATAACCAGCCATCACCTAAATTTTCACGACGTATCTATCAGAAAGATAAACGGCAATGTTCAAAAATCCTTAACAGAAGCATATTTGTTCGTTATTGTTTTTTGGATATGAGCACTGTTGTTTAGTTTATGAGACTTCAAAATAAATTTTAAGTTTACTTTATTCAAATGTTTTATGAGATGTATTGTTATTTTAGAGTTAGATTCAATAGTTTTTTTCATATAACTTCTATAAAAGCTCACGTGTGGGTGGGGTAAAAAGGACCATCTGAACCTTTACTCTGTCAAAGGTGTAAGCAATCAAAAAATAGTAAATAAAAAAAGAAGCAATTTTACATATGATAAGTTAAATAGTTTTTCCAATTCTTCTGCTGACTATTTGTGGCGAAATACCAGATCATGGTTATTCACAGTGTGCTTCTGCTTTCAAATATTGTTAAAAAATTTAATGTCTTGTTGTCAACAATTTGTCAGTATTGTTGGTTACCTCTGATATTTTTCCAAAACTGATTTGAGGTTCTTTTCTTATATTGCTTACTTGCAAAATATATGATAAAATCAAATATAGATTACTGCTTCACATAATTTTCCTTCTACTTTCGAATATTGTTGTTAAAAAATTCCTAGTCTACCATCAGTGTTGGTTACCTCTGATATTTTCCAAAATTGATTTGAGGTTCTTTTCTCATATTACTTACTTGCAAAATGCATGATATATTCTAGTATAGATGGCTGGTTCATATTCTGCTTTCAAATATTGTTAAAAAATTACTAGCCTACCATACTAGTGTTAGTTACCTCTGAGATTTTTCCAAAACTGATTTGAGGTTTTATTCCCATATTCCTTACTTGCAAAATATATGATATAATCTAGTATAGATTACTGGTTCACTTAATTTTCCTTTTACTTTCTAATATTGTTGCTAAAAATTCCTAGCCTACCATACTAATGTTGGTTACCTCTGGTATTTTTCCAAAATTGATTTGAGATGCTTTTTTCATGTTGTTTTCTTCCAAAATGTATAATATAATCTAGTATAGATGGCTGGTTCACATTATTTTCCTTCTACTTTCGAATATTATTGCTAAAAATTCCTAACCTACCATACTAATGTTGGTTACCTCTGGTATTTTTCCAAAATTGATTTGAGATGCTTTTTTCATATTGTTTTCTTCCAAAATGTATAATATAATCTAGTATAGATGGCTGGTTCACATTATTTTCCTTCTACTTTCGAATATTTGTTGCTAAAAATTCCTAACCTACCATACTAATGTTGGTTACCTCTTGTATTTTTCCAAAATTGATTTGAGATGCTTTTATCTATTATTTATACATTGCTTTGTTCCAAAGTGCATGATAAAGTCTAGTATAGATTACTAGTTCACATAATTTTCCTTCTACTTCCGAATATTTTTGTTAAAAACTTCCTAGCCTACCATCAATGTTGGTTACCCCTGATATTTTTCCAAAACTGATTTGAGATTTTTTTCTCATATTGCTTTTTTGCAATATGTATTATATAATCTAGTATAGTTTCAATTCTTCAGACAAGTGGAATTTATAACCCATTTAAAATAATGATAGATGAATAATATAACAAAAATCTTGTTCGCTCTTGATACGTCGAAGTCTCGTAAAAACATGTTTTCATGAATCTTATATGAACTCCATATGAATTTCAATATCGCATTACTCATTTTACGATATGCGAGATAAATATGAAATTGAATAAGGAATATTTTCATACCAAGTGATCAAAATATTTTCGTGCAGGCATTTGTTATTAAAGATTTTATTATTAAAAATGTATGCATATGTTGCATTAGCAATAGAGAAAAAACAATGTTGTGCTTTGGAAAATATGAAATGGAGAATGATTTAGTATAAAAATATGAAAATAACAAATAACTTTTAATAAACATCAAATGGCATTGTTCGATTTATATAATTTATATAATTAAAATATAATTTTTAAGTTAAAAATAGTATGATCATTGGCATATTATCCTCACGATCTTAATAAAACCAAATAATAGTAAGGGAAAAATGTTAAATAATAGAAAATTATAAAAGTAAGAACAAAATAACAAAATTCAAATGATTAATACAATATTCATAAATATAATACCTGATTGATACCATATTAACTGAATAATAGTAAAATAGTCACAACTTTCAATAATGATTGATGCTGATTATTTCATTGGAAAATTGTCTCACGATTTTTTTTAATTTTTAACCTTTTTTTTCAAAAGGTTTTTTGGATATGAAAATCTAATCCGCGTTTCATATTATATGATAATTTTTCTAGTTTGACAATATTTTGATCTGTATTAAAAATCTATATTTTGATCTCTAAGAAAATTATCAGTATTCTAAAAAATAGCATGTTAAGCTTAGGGAAAATACTACCAAATATCAGAAACTAGTGGTGCATGGCATCTTGCCTAAAGAAAAATTCCTGGAAATTATTTTTTTAAAAAATCTTTAGAATTTTTTGGAAATTTTGAAAAATATGAGATTTTGAAATTTAAAAAAAAAACTTGACGTTTTTGAACAAGTTGAATTTGTTTATACTTTGAATTTTTCTGAAAATTTAAAATTTTTAAACTAATTCAGATTGGTTTGAGGACTTTATAATAAAATAAATACAACTGCAATAAAGTTATTGGTAGATATTTCTTAATTTAATCTTAAAAATAAAATCATATTGATACTTATATATAATAGTAATATATAATATTGTTCAATTATTACAAGCAAAATTATCATAAAAAAGAAAGTAATGAAAAATATTAGGGACTGTAGATAGGTAAAAGCAGAAAAGTAGACTGTAGAAAGTTTAGTAGAATTCAAAGTAAACATATACGAGGTCTGTTCAAAAAGTACCCGGAATTTTCGTTTTTTCAAAAAAATATTTATTTATTCGTCTACATTAATGTGGTCCCCTTCAAAGTAGTCCCCCCAGATATAATACACTTATGCCAGCGTTTTTTCCAATTTTCGAAGCACCCTTGATATTCACTTTTTGATATGTCCTTGAGCACTCTCAGCGATTTTCTTCAATCGAGGAAAACCGCCGTCCTTTCATGGGTCTCTTCAACTTTGGGAATAGGAAAAAGTCACACGGAGCCATATCTGGTGAATTTTTGCACTTTGCAACACTTTATTTCATTTTTTACGCAAAATTTAATACAAATTCTTTGACTTTTCAATTCTTCCATTGTAAAAATCGCCGAGCTCAGAAAAACACGTCGAACCTTAGCGACTACCACAGACAAAGTAAACAGTGAATATAGCTGAAAATTTCATCATACTTTAGGGGCATGTATACCAACACAATAAAAAAAAATTTTGACAATCAGACACTCCAGACCCGCGAAATTTAATTATTAGTAATTCCGGGTACTTTTTGAACACACCTCGTACATGAACATAAACATTTCAATTTAATATAATTTTTCCTAATCAAACTTTAAATAATAATAATTTTGTCTATAAACATTACTGCTGGACAAAATTAATAGAAAAATATAAAACATAAAAAGTAATTTATGTGATTTCATTTATAATAATTACATACAAAATTATATCAAAATTAAAAATATTGAAAATGGTTAAGAATTCTTAAAAATTATTGCGTGAAAGCAGCTAACATAAATTTAACTGAATTCTGAAATAAAAATTCAAATAAGAAACTTTTTTAAATAGTAGAAAGTGTTATTAAGAAAGTTATGTGGAAATAAATATGCAAAAAGATATTTCCATGTATAAAAATATATTTTAAATTTTGTTGATGACAAAATGTCATGAGCAATTGTTTCTCCAAATTCACTTTTAGCTCACTTGATAAAGTTAGCAGAGAATAAAAAAATCATACAAAAATAATTTATAATTATCTTTGAAAATCCATAATAAAAGAATTTTCTATTGCGTTGGTAGTTTTTGCGCATTAGTTAAAAATGTAATTATTTTGTAAAATACCTTTAAAATTAAATTAAGACAATAAACCTGTTTGCCACCTGGCCGTTCCAAGTTACCCCGCCTGTAGAGTAAGAAGGTATAGACAACGAATTTTTGAAAGACATCTAAAAATCACATTAAGTAGCTGGCAGTTTTACTGAAGGTAGTCAGATAATTGTTCGTTTGAAATGTGTTATTTGTTGTGATATTTTCTGTTTTCACAATATAGTTTATATTTGCTCAAAGTCAAATTGGACTTTTGTACCTCGCCCTGCTTTACATATCTTTTGATTCAATTTACTTATAATTATTATGTCTTGAATCTAATTCAGAGACTCGGCCTTGCAACCATATAGTTGCAGTTTAATATCTCACAGTGATATCTGTTTTCTTTGGAAAATATAGTCTCAAAAAATATGTTTCAAAATAAAAATAGTCTTCCAATAGCCATTGCAATTAGTAAGGACCATTAGTAGGTTACCTTCTCATAGTTCATGGATGTAAAAATAAATATATATCTCAATTAGTAAGGATAATCATTAGATTGCTTTCTAATAGCGTTCGTGAAGAAAATACATCTAAGGGTGAGCATCGTTCACACCAGCTTGTAAGATATCTATTTCAAATTACTGTTGAAAAAATATAATAATTACAAATACATTTATTATAATATTGAAAATAATGATAATTATTACGAATCGTAAGAGTCTTTTGCGTAAACGCAGTTCAATTACATTTTTTCCCCAAATTACTCTTGGTGAACTCGTCGACTCCTCAACTCTGATATTGCCCTCTCGAGACTTGGCACTGCTACCAGTGTCCGTATTATGAAAAATGTTTTGAGATATAAAAAAGCTAAATAATGTAAGATAACTGTATTTTAGCTGAATTTCTTTTATTTGGTTTGTTTCAGCGGACAGTAGTTTCTTGTTGGCCAACGCCCAGATAGTGGACTTTCCTATCGTCTACTGCAATGAGGCCTTCTGCAAAATCAGTGGGTACAACAGGGCCGAAGTCATGCAGAAGTCGTGCAGGTAAAAAATTAGAATTTGTTTAAATTGATTAATTTGATTACAATAATTCTACCTTAAGAATGATTTATTTAAAAGGATGATTTATTTAAAATATTTTATTTTTGTTAATCTTTTATTATTATTAATTTATTATGTATGAGATATATTGATAATGTTCTTGATTATAAAGATTAGATCTATATAAGTATATATGTATGTACGTGCCCCTTGTAGGGCGCCACAACTTTGACCATTAGGATATCATGCAATTCTGATTCCCTAAATCATTTAAAAAACTTTGTCGAAGAAACCACAGCTCAGATGTGAATTTATAGCTAACGAAATTTTCAATATAGTTTTTATCTAAATATATAAGTAATAACATAAATATTGTTGCAAAGACAAAAAAAAGTATTTTATACCAGTCATAAAGCTTTTTGGGGTCGAGAAATCCACTTCCGTATTTAGTTTAACAAAGTATTACCACCAAAGAGTGCTTTCATCTATTTCTTTGTATTTTGTCGCCCTTTTTGCGGAAAACTTAACGATATTATTGCAAAAATCGCTGATAATTGATTTTCCTTGATTGTTTTTTTAAATTCTAAATAATATTTTGACGTATAAATAAATAAATAAATAAATATTCTAGGATGTTCTACGGATTTCATTTCAATTTTCTGGAATGTTTAGGAATGCTGTATGAATTGCTATCTGTTTTTTTTTTCAAATGTAGTAGTAGAATAGAATTTTCTTTGCAATTTTCTCAACTGTTCTTTTATGTTCAACTTTTTGTTGAATAACTAAATTAATATTTTCAGAGTGATTTTATTTTTTATATGTTACGGCATTTGTTGTTGTTATGTTTTGATGAAAAAAACTAGAATTTGAATTTCTCAATTATTAAATTTTGTATACAAATTTTAACAATACACAAAATTATTATTACTAAATTCTTAGATATCGTACCTATGTAAGGTATTTTCAAAACTTACTTCTGCAATACAAACGATTATAAATTTTTCTACATATTTTGTACAAATTGTTCTCTAATACTCAGCTTTTTGTTGGATTATTAAATTAATGTTTTCAGAGAAACATTATTTTTTCAGACGTCTCGCCATTTGTTATTGTTATGCTAAGATCAGAAAAACTACAATTTGGAATTCCAAAATATAAAATTTTTTATACTAAATATCCATAATTTTTGTTACCTAATTTTTTATGTATAGTACCCTAATAATGCATTTTCAAAACTCAATACTCTAATGCAAAGGATTATTACGTTTTAATTGTGTTTTCTATAACTTTCACTTTCAACAACTTTCATTAAAAATTTTAAATAAAAAATGATCAAAATGTGATCACGTGAAAGATAGAGGTAGAATAAATAGATAGAATCAACAGTCATTTATCTGTTGTTTTCTCTATGTTAATAATTATTATTCCAAAATGAAAGATAGTATTAGCTGTATCAACAATTATTCAAAACGAAATATTTTTTTATTAATTTAGAAACTTTTTTAAACATTTTCTTTCGGATATTTATAAGACTTTAATTTATTCAGTTATTTAACTCTTATATTATTTGTACATACAAAAGAAAGTTCTAAGAGTTTTTCTTAAGGCACAATGTCATACACCGCTAGTTCTGAATTATTTCATAAACTCCCCTAGTATTTATCTCAATGTTTTGATACGTTCTAAATTTGAATGAACAGATAATTTTAGATTTGCACTTTATATAATGTTCTGACCACTCTCAGATTTTAATATTATTATCATAGGCCTTGAAATTATGAAAAAACAAGGTACCGTAAGAGTATCCACAGTGTTGTGTCAAAATATTGTATTTGAATAACTTGGTGTGTCGGTTAATTATTTTTGTATATATATATATATATATATATATATATATATATGTAAGTTAACTCTAATCGTCTCTATTATAAACACAAAACATAATAATACAATATATTCAGTGATTTTCTTCCCCTTACGTATTTATTTTTCTCATAATCGTTTTATGACTATTAATTAATTGGCAATTAATCATTTTATATTCGTTTTCATGAAATTTTCTTCCCAAACTTCTGCTTCCATGCTTCCTGGTTCTGTACTTCGGCTTTCAGTTCTCTGTATTTCCTCTTCTCGCGTTCGGCATCAATCATTTGCATTCTTCTTCTTCCCAATCCTTTCAGTCCTCTTATTTTGCCTTCGACGATGTTCTGCCAGGGCACTCTTTTTGAAAGATGGGTCCTACTCAGTTTCCAGTATATATATATATATATATATATATATATATATATATATATATACTTGTGTGCGTGTGTGTATTTATAAATAAAAAGTGTGCACACATAAATGTAGGCTATGCGACAAAGCGTTTTTACTAACTAAGAGGTCATGGAATTATTTATAGTACGGCAGTCTTCATAATATTTACAATACACGCAAAAGCATGTATATATATATATATATATATATATATATAAACTAAATTAACTATTGTGTTGACAGACATCTTGATATACTTTCTTCATGAAATATATATTGCGGCTTTTACGGCAGATATAACACAATACGATAGAATATTATACTGATCAAACGAGCTAGGGATTCAATTACTATGAGATACAAATATATAGATATATGAGTGCTTTCTGATATTTTACTTAATTATTAAAAGAAACTAATGTTAGGTTTAATTTTTTAAATAATTCTTGCGCATGGGGTCTTGCTTTGATTTTTCTAAAGTGTGCTAATCCATATAAATATTCTAAAAAAACAAAATAACGCATCAATAAATGAATGACGTGTGAAATCTAAATAATTAACTGATGATTAGGTAAAAATATAGATTTATGAACCCAAACAATGGACCTATTTATCAGAATTTTTTAACAGCCAATATATAGAATAACGCATTTTAATTTTAATTAAGAATAACGGTCCTAAAAATTCTTCAACAAAATCGAACCCTAATTGATATTAATGGAATAGTTTTAGAAATATTGGAATCGATCCAGAGTTTTGTGTTGCTATAAAATTGTGCGAGTTTTCATCCATTAATCAACACGATTCTCCAATAATAATAAAATAGAATTTTGCAGCATACTTGTTTTTATCCATATGATCAAAATCTGCCTGGTAAGGCATTCAGTAATTTTGGTTACAAATATGTAAATATAGGATTTTAGTCATTTTAGGTTTGAAAATCAATGAGATAAAATTACAGAATAGTAATAATAACTTTACATTTTATGTAATTTGCTAAATCTAGAAGGTTAGTTTTTTGAGTTTTCTGGGTATATTCGAAGAGAGCAAGTCTCTGGCGAGTTGGTTCGGATGATTTTCTACTCTGGTTGGCGAGCATTTCATAAATAATTTGATGTATTAAAACTCAATACTCTACTATTCTACGATGATTTTATTAGAATCGATTATATGAGATATTTTCTATACACTCTTTTGTTTCTATATTACCAATGTCATGGTACACTTAATAATTTGGAGCAAATTTGCTCCACTGGTTTTGTACTTAGATGCATGTCTACTGATTACCGTGAACATATCGGAGTCCTGGTGGATCAGCCAATTTGGGACATACTTGGGCGTCTCTAGTATTTTTTTAATAATTTTATTTCGAGACCTTTGAAAAATGTTTATATTGGATTGGCAAGGCAGCATACTTGTAGTAATGTGTGTTTTTGCAATACATAATGATGAATATATTTTCATGAGGTACTTCCTTATATTTTCTAATTTATTTGCAAGAAATTTTGCATTATAAGTATAAATAAAATAGCTTTTTTCAAACACATTGTGGTATGATAAATGGCAGAATAATCCTCTCAATTAGTAGCAGTGCCTTGATTACAATTTATTCGAATTTTTAAAAAATTCTTATTACATTTTGTGAACAATGTATTTTGGAATAATGCATATATTTCGTATTGTGCATTTATTATTTGTTTTTTGTTGTTTTATAATTCATAACCTATCTTATAGTCGATCAGATGTAGTTATTACTCATTCACATTATGTAATAATCTGTTTTCTTAGACAAAAAGAGTTGTCAGGTGTAAAAATAAATACTGTTCTGAGAAATTGAGGTTCAAATCAAACTTTCAGCTAGATATTTTATAATAAATGCTTTGTGTTAATATCAAGAACATTCGTTCTAATGAATTGAATCGTCATAAAAAAACGAATAAAACAAATTTATACATCTCAGTTTTGACAATATTTTAACACGTTCTCGGATATTAATGCTATAGCATTCATTTTTATTGTAATGCAGAATGGCATGAATGCTATGGAATTCAAATTAAAGAGTCAATTATTCTGAATTTTATTTTATATGACTTCATGTTCTTGTTATTAATATACCTGTAAAGGTAATACCTATAACTGATTATTTAATAACTTAACAAGTTCTCGGACGTGAATGCTATGGCATTCATTTTCATTATGTATGACATGAATGCTTTATATTCAAATTTTAAAGTAAATTATTTAGAATTTTTTTATAACTTTACGTTTTTGTAATTAGCATACATTTAATGACCAACTGATTCTTTAGGTGTTTCGTATTATCTTATCTTTTCTCGTAGTCACTAATTAATATGTTATGTAAAAAAGAAGCGTAATACTTGACGTATTTATATGCTACAGCATTCATCGTATATTACAATTAAAATATGATAATCTGATTCATCATAAATTACGATTAAAATATGATAATTTTATTACCATTATAAAAGACGTTTTATCAAATTACGGATATCACAGCCAATTTAAAAATAACACGACTGTTAATTTTTGTACTTTGCTAAACTTTCTACTGTCCGCGAACGTGTCAAATAAAAAATTGTAGCTTCAAGTTGATCGATCTACATTCCACAAACTTTTCAGGATCATATTTCCATCAGTAGAAAAACAATAAGGCTCACAGAGAGCTTTAGTTTGATGTTGTACCTACATATAGTATAAGGTTAAATCAGTCGGAAAAGATTTTTCTT